AAGACATTACCCATCTAAGGGCATCTCATGCTAAAGCCTAAACTATCCCTTATACTGGTCACTACCAGAGCTCAGGATATCTCTGTGGATGGGAAGGGAAACCCTAAAGGTGGTTGTGGTCACTGATGGTGGGTTGGAGGCCTACTGCCAGCTGGCATTTGCTGAGTCAGGCCCTGGAGGGCTGGCAGGAGGGCCCTTTCTCTCCCCTCAATGCTGTCCCATGCCTGAGGATGCCAGATTGGGAGGGGAGCCAGAGGTCATTTCCTCTGACTCAGCGGCCATTCTCCTTCCCGAGGATTGACACATCCATGTGGTGTCCGTCAACCTGCACGCCACACCAGTACAGGCAGGCATTGTGCTCAAACAAGAAAGGGGCGCTTATGAGCCAGACAATGGGAAGGGTTGCTCCTACTTGGCCTGGGCTTGGCTTCCCTAGGTCAGCAATGTCCTTTCCTCGACTCCTGCCCACGTTGCTCCCGCCCCTTCCAGGAGAAAGGCGACTTGGACAGCTTAAGCAGAGAGACCCATGCCAGCCCATGCAGCGGTTTGGCATAAGCCATGAGGAGGAGGGGTTCGAGCTTCTAGTCTCGCCTGTGGTAAGGAGCATCGCCTCAGTGGGACCTAACTCAGTGCAGGTTGCTGCTCCGGTGAAAGAAGGCCCTGGGTGATGGATGGTAGTGGTGTAGGGAGTTCCCGGCCAGAGCCCTAAGCCCAGCCTCCAAGCCTCCTCTAGCCTCCCTCTGTTCCCCCACAGCAGGCCCAGGGTCTGGGCCGCCCCCACATTTGCAGCCACCCTATAAGCCCTGCTGAGACGACTGCAACCACGTGGGAGCCAGTTCGTGCCCACGGGGCTTCTCGCCCCCACCCCCACCCACGACGGGCGTGGAAGCAAGCACACCCAGACAGGATCGAGGGGTAAAAGGTTGCCCACCTAGGGCAAGAGGGGCCCCGCTTTCCTTCTTCTCCTCCTCCCCCCAACCAGGCCCTCGCCTATGGCCCCGCGTGGGGTGGGGGAAGGGCGGGAGGGGGCGTCACCGCCCCGCAGTCGCGTTGCTGGGGAGCGCAACCCCGTTGCTGTGGTAACTGTTTCCAAGCGAACCAGTGGCGGCTTGCGCCCCACTCCGGCTCCCTCGCTCGCGTTCTCCCTCCCTCCCTCCTGTGTGGCCTGGGGGAGGGTCCGCCCCATAGCCACAGCAGGGGTCTGGGACGGCGACCTGGAGACAGGGTGCAGAACTGCCCGCGGGGAGGGGCACAGCCCGCAAACTGTCTTCCACCCCAGCTCCACGCCCGCCCGGCCCTGGAGCAGTTGCCGCGGTACTCACGGGCCCAGGCATCCTCCTTGAGCTAGTCTTCCTAGTTCGGGGCTAGTGGTACGGACCCAGCGGGCAAAGCCCCCAGCCTCGGACGCGGTGACGGCCCCGGGGAGCAGACAGTGGCAGCTAAAGCGGCTCTGAGCGACGGGCTGGAAGCGCGGGGCGCGCGCACGGGCGCGTACACGGCCCAGCGTGCGCGCGCGCGCGAGGTGGCCGGCAGAGGGCCCCCACCCCCCACAACAAACCGCCCAGGAGGTGCCTGGGAGAGGTGGGGGGACCCCGCTGCACCCACCTGCCACACCGAGACACGACTCAGACCGGGCTCTGGGCTCTCGCCACACCACGGCACTTCCTGGAGGATACACACGCTAGGCAGCTCCCGACAAGCTACACAACCCGGCACTCACTGGCCGACCTGGTGTACACGACCGGTCATGCACACTGCATGCCCAGCAAACAGCCCAGGGAGAGAATGCTGACACAAACGTACACATACACATCCAGGTCCTGTCATATCCTGGAAGGCACTGAAAACCAGCGGACAGACAGGTACTCAGCATGGGCCCCAAAAGAGGCCACATGGCCTCCCTTCCTCCTCCTGGCCCCTCCCACTGTGTCCTCAGCAGGCATACAGCACCAAATGCCTACTAAGGAAGCATAGGGGAAGGGGAGCTACTTCAGGGTCAGGATAGGCGTTGACAGTCCTCTTGTCAGTTATGGCTCCATAGTCCCCGCTGAGGTCCAGTCGTCATCCCAGAGAAGTCTGAATTTGGGTATGTCCATCAGCATCTTAACTAGGCTCCCTTTCTAGTTGGACTTTTGTACCATATTTATGATATAAAAAAAAAACCACACCAACATTTCACTACTGTAGTAGCTGGGACATTTGAGACACAAGTGACAGAACATCAAGTCAGTTAGGCTTATAGTAAAGCTTAGCTTAGGTCCGAGTTGGACAAGGGTGTTCGACAATGTTATCAGGCATGCATCAATTTCTCTCCTCTGAACCTTTCTCAGTAAGCTCTCTGCAATTATTGGCCAAAATGACTACAGCTTCATATCCTGCCATCCATCTTCAGGTAAAAGAATGTTCTAATTGTTCTAGCGGAAACAAAAAATGACAAATGCACAATTTTTTTTTACACATTTCGAGTGTCCATCAGTGAGCCAATCAGGTAGCTAGATCTAGAGATGTGTTCAACTACTCAGTATCTTCCTTTGAGCACTAACACCCTGACTGCCTGTGCCTCATGGATGCCATCCTGGTGGGCCTAAGCCAAGTGTCTGCCTCCATCCACAATGGGCAGCTTTTCAGCCTAGCCATGCAGAGGCTCAGCAATATATAGTTTGTACTGTTCTGTCCGTATCCTTTTAACCCTATTTCTAAGTTAGCTGGAGGTAATCATAAACCCCTGATGGCTCAGTCCAAGTCACACTCCACCTAGGTGTCAGAAAGCAACTTTTAAATTACATGGACTGAGAACAGAGGATAGGGGTATTCCCTAAAGAAAACTTGAGATCTCTTTGTAGACACTAGGCAGGATACTCTGACACAATTTCACGGCCACCACCACCTTCCAGATGAGGTACCACATCTTTAATATAGCTTTTAAAGTTCTAAGTGGGTGGCACTCCTCTTCACTATGTTCAGCATTTAGCTGCGCTGTCTCTTCTCAGGCATGTGTTGCTCTTGTGGCCTGGAAGTCATCAACCTTGACACTCTTGTGGCCAGATACCTCCTTGGCATCCACTACCCTCTAGCCCCACTGCCCACAGCTCTGTGGCAGTCCAGACCCTGCTAATCATCTTTGCCATAGAGCTGATCACATTGGGTCTCACTGCTCCTTGTCTGCTTAGCTATCAGACTCAGTGGCCTCATCACTATCTTGTGTCCCGTTCCCACCATAAAGCAGGGCTTGGCTCACTGGAAAATTGTGGGAGTTTGCTATGCGTAGAATCCACTGGGCTAGTGGCTTACCCCTAACCAAGTTCCCTGAAGTCTTCTGTAGTGCAAGGGATATTGGCAAAGTCTGGGACTCACCTGTAGCTTCACCGAGCCAGACATCTACCTGGTATTCACGAATATTCACTTTTATTTGGAGCAGGGTTAGGTACTGATTGGCCTTTGTACAACAGTACCTATCCTTTTTACCCCCTAGCCAGTAGAACCTGGGGCCCAGGGGCCACATCTCACACCTATGGACAAGATCTGGCTTTTCTGTCCTGCACACTCATTAGTTCTCCCCCAATTCCCCTCCCTATAAGGGAAGAACAGCAGCCACTAGACAAACTAGACGCTGGGCAGGCAGAAGCTCCTGCCAAACCAGATGCCCGAGGTGGTGGGTTGGCCTAACTTTTGCATGCTAGACTTACGGTGGGGTTTCAGAGGCTTTAAATAGCCTAAGAGGAAACTGCCTGTCTTCTTCCCTCAGAGCAGCAGGTGGACTTGTTTGAACTGAGTGCCTTAGGGCTGGCAGCACAATTTACAAGCAGTGCTCCTCCTGCTCAAAAGCTTCAGGAAATCCTCCCAACCACCTTGTAAGGCAGTGGTTAGGGATATCCTTTTCCAGACCAACTGCCCTCATGCAAAGCTGAACAGCTTGAAAATTGGCCTTGAACCTAATTATCCAACTACAAAATGGGGTGCCTTCTGTGGAACAGGATCCCCAATCTAAGGACTAAGGGAAAACTTGGGGTGATTAGAAGACTTTCCTGGGGCCTGAGGACACTGAAAGGGTATGACAGATATGATTCTGTGAAGTCTGGGACAAACTCTCACCTGAGTCTGCACAAGGGGTGGCTTTGGACAGGAATACTCTCCCCACACTCCCTCAGGTCCCCAGGCAAGTATGTCTTCAATTCTATCTTCATAGCTATCTGAAATGCTATCTTCAGAGGAGCCTCCCCAATACCTCTATCCCCACCCTCTCCTCCCTCCATCCTCTTCCCAGTGCCGCCACTATGTAGGTGTTTACATTTTATGCTACAGGGCAAACCAGGGATAGCTCTGATGCCCAAGGTGAGGGATACAGAAGCTATCCAGGTAAAACAGACTTGGCTACTATAGCATCCCAAGCCACTGCAAGTCCACAGTGGCAGCCATGCCACTTTGGCCTTGGTTGGGAAACTACCACCTGGCCCTGCCTTGCTAGCCCAGGCAGAGACAGATATACATCCTACCAGATATTTGGCGCTTCTTCCCACAAGCCTTATCCCACTAGGAAAGCTAAAAAGCTCTGAGCCCGAAGACCCATTGAAGCCTGCTGGAGAGACTGCCCCAAAAGCAAGCCTAGGGATCCCGAGCCTTGCCTGAAGGACAGTCCTGCCAGACCCACTGCCAATCTTTTGCACTTTCCAGCAGGGTTGTGAAAGCAGGAAGATAACCAGGGCACTGGAACAAGAAAGAGGCACGCAGGGGCCAGGGAGGGCAGGTTTGTGCTCGGACTGTATTCACACAGAGACACGTGGCAGCTTACACTGGACAAAATGAGTAACAAAAACTGGCTTTAAATATGGAAAAATCAGGGCCCTGTAACCCCATGCAACCCTAGCACTGGGACCAGGATGGTCATTGCAGGTTTGGAGGGCCTGGGCAGCAGGCTGACAGCCTCACACTACCCCCTTTCCATTTGTATACACACACATACATACACACACCCCACAGGCACACTCAGGAAGGGTGGATTATTGCTGGGCATGTGTGTCTATTGTTATGAAGGAAGGCGGAATGTTTGAGGGTCGGCCAGGGACAACAGACATGGCCTGGGCTGGGGCGTTTCTGAAAGAAGTATCTTCAGGGCAGGGCCCAGCATAAGGGAGGAGGCACCCTGGGAGCCGGAAGGCGGAGGCAGACACATCTGGGACAGCCTGGGCAGTGGACTAGAGTCCCAGGGTCAGCCCAATCTCACTGGCCATCCTTTGGCACAGGCCTAGGGGAGCAAAGGCCTCAGTCCAGCTCTGATAAGCATTGAGAAAGGGCAGCAGTGAGCCCCAAAATGGGGTGGCTGGGCCCAGGGCAGCAAAGGCAGGCACAATTCTCACTCAGAGGTCTTCAGTGGCGAGCACAGTGTTGGGGCTCAGGGATCTGGCCCACCTCACCCAAGCTGGGTCTGAGGAGCCTTGAGTTTGGCAGTGGCTCCTCTGCCAGCTTTCGGCTCTCCCAGGCCAGTGCTGGATGCTCCAGGGAGCTGAGGCTAGGGCGCCAGGCCCAGGTTGGGTATTAAGAATGCTCTGGTTTCTATATACATTCATACAAATACATAAATACAGAAAGCCCCGAAGCTCTGCAGAGAAGAGCTGAAGGGACGCACCTTTGTCCCAAGGACAACCCAGGCCTTGCCAGACTCAGCCAGGCCCAGGGCTGAGAGACAGTGGGCACTGGGGACAGTTCAGGCTGTGTCCCCCCCAGCCACAACTTGAGTGGACAACAGGGAAGACCACTGTGCAAAACTGTAAACAGCATTCGGAGTAGCTGCTACCGCCAACCACTGATGGGGGGCTCAAACTGGGGGCTAGAGGTGGGTGGGGAACTCGAGACGGGTGGGGAGCTCTTCCTCACTGTCACTGCAGTTCCCGCAGCAATCCTAGAGGGGTGGAGAGACACAGGAGAGAGGCAGGGCAAAAACCATTAGCCATAAGAGATTCTAGAGGCCCTGGCCCTGCCAGTGTGGGTCTCAGCCCAGCCGACACGGCCAGGCATCAATGCAGAGGCTGCTGGTGGCAGACAGGAAGGGCGTTAGGTAGATCCCAGACTTGCCTAGACAAAGCCTTGGTCTAGTCCCTTTTCCCTGGGGTGGTGGAAGCAAGGCTAGCAGCTTCAAGGTCTAGGGTATGGGGTAAGGGCAGGAAGGGTAGGGGGGCGGGCACCAGACATCTTTCACCCACATCTCGCCTCTGCCATGGAAGGGCTGCCTGTGACTCCCCAAGACCGGGCAGCGAGGCCAACCTATGGGGTGCCCACACTGCTCACCTCTGGAAAGAGAAAAGAGGCCATGAGCCTAGCCAGCGGCAAGGGGAAGGCGGGATAAAGGCAGGAGACCCTGGGCGCCACGGTCACAGCTGGAGGAGGCCCACCCCCAGCGCATGCGGGCACCAGCTCTGCCTCCCGCCCACCATCCCTTGGAGCCAGGCTATTGGGGTACCTGGCGGCTGAAGAGTCTCTGTAGCAGGCCCTTCTTTGGGGGTGCAGGTGGTTGGCCCTTCCAGTCCAAGTCTGGGGGCACCGTGCCATCCAGCCCAAAGACATTCAGCTCCTGGAAGCACTCGGTCTCTACCATCTGCCACAAGACAAGTCAGTTGGAAGAGGTGTGCCTCAGGCTGCCCCTCTAGGAGCCCATCTCACACCTGAGTAGGCTCACCTCGTTTTGCCAAGGGATGGGTACGCTGCCTGTGGCAAACTTCTGGTAGAAGTCTTGGTCAGTGGGCTCCAGCTCCACCCCCTTCACTGTGGAGAACTGCTCGATGTCCAGAACATCCTTGCAGTAAATGGCCTGGGGCTGAGATGAAAGAGGTAGAAAGTGGTCAAGGAGGATCATCACCCTGTTCTCTGGCAGCTTGGCAGCTCTCACCAAGGCTGCCACCATGGCTGAAAGCAACGGCACAGCGGCCAGCCCAAAAGGTCTTACTCAGAGGGAGCTGACCAACCATGACCAGTGAGACCCCACGGACCCTTTGTACAGTTAAGGGCACGTCCCTCTGCTTGCACACACGTGCAGGGCTTGCAAAGATGCGTCAGGTGGAACCTCAGCTGGCCCCCTCAGTGGGAACTCTTACTCAGGCCCCAGCATGTAGGGCTCCTCTGCTCTCTGTGTCCAGCAGTTTGTTCTCACACCTTCACATATTTCACAGCCAACCCAAGAACCCTGCTAGGACCCACCTCAACTCCAGGGGCCACTTTCATCTCTACATCACCATCTAACTCTTGTTGTTTAGGATGCCAATTAAAATAATGCCATCAATTCTGATAGTGAGCCACTCTGACAAACAGTCTAGCAGTGCTTCAAAAAGTTAAAGAGCCACCATGTGACCCAGCAATTCCACTATGCATATACACCCAAGAGAAGCAGAAACGGCCACACCACCAGTGCTGTGCACCAATGCCCAAAGCAGCACAATTCTTAATAGCCCGGAGGTGGAAACAGCCCCAATACCCATCAACTGATGACTGGATGGGAGTCCCTGGGTGGTGTAAATGGCTAAGAAGCTTGGCTGCTAACCTAAAGGCTGGAGGTTCACGTTCACTCTGAGGTACTTCAAAAGAAATCTACTTCCAAAAATATATCACTGAAAACTCTAAGCAGCACAGTTCTATCCTAACTGGGCTGCCATGAGCTGGAGTCCTGATACCAATCTGATTTTGGATAAATGGATAAACGAAATGTGATATAGCTACGCAATAGAATATTATTCAGCCATAAAAAGTTAAAGTTCTGACGAATTCTATGTGAATAAACCTTGGAAAAACTATGCTAAGCGAAAAGATGCAGATAAAAAGGCCACAGATTGTATAATTCCATTTACATGACAGAACCAGAAAATGTAAACTCATGGAGACTAAACCTCGATCAGTGGTGGTTGAGGGCTGTGGGGGCAGGAAAAGGAGTCTTGGTGAGTGATGGCTAATGGATATTGGCTTTCTTTTTGGGGTGATGTAAATGCTTTAAAACTATGGTGATGTTATGCAACTCCGGGCATGCTGGAAGCCACTCAATTACACACTTTAAATATACTGTGCAACTTAGATCCCAGAAAAGCTATTTAAGTAAGAAAAAAATCACCATCATGCTTGCTTTTCATCTGCTGCTCTAAAAGTTGACCTTGAGGGGTGCTGTTCACTGACTCTGAGTATCAGAGGTAGTGGATTTACCTTAGCCACCTCACATTTAGGGACGCAATCCCCACCAGCCTCTGGGACCCCACTTCTTGCCACACATGCTGTGCCCTGTCCCAGCCCCACTGCTGTCCACCTCTTGAGGCTGGGGCCCGCCCGGCACTAGGGAGATGTCTGCTGCTCCTGCCCAAAAGCCTCACCCGCCAGATCCCAGCCGGCCCTCTCACTCACCTATGTATGTATTTATGACAGTGGTTAACCATCAGATCCTCAGACTACTCTGTCTAAAAAGGCTCCCCCAGTTTTCTACTTCTTCCTTTTGTTAAGCTTCTTTTATGCAAAACCCAACTTACAGCAGTCCTGAGTGCAGAGCAGAACTGCTCCCACAGGGTTTGCAAAGCTGTGACTTTCAGACGCAGATTGCAGGCCTGTCTGCCAAGCTGCCTCTGGGAAGGTCTGAACCACCAACCGTTAGTAGTTGAAAAGTTAGCCATTTTTGTCAACCAGGGACTGCTTTCTATCTTGTTATGTGCTATCCAGTGGCCTGTGACTCACAGCAACCATATATGTACAATAGCTGTGAACTCTATCCTGAGCCAGTCTCATTGACTTTAACACATCTACATGCATTATCTCAGTTACTGTCAATCCATCTCATCCGGGGTCTTCCTCTATTGCACTGCCCCTCCACCCTTCCAAGCATGATGTCCGCCAGGGACTGGTACTTCCTGGTCCTGTGCCCAAAGAATATGAGACGAAGCTTCAATATTCTTGCCTCAAAGGAGCAGCCTGGTTTAACCCTGCCGAGGATAAACTGGTTTGTTCTTTTCACAGTCCATGGTATGTTCAGTACTCTTCTCCAGCACCACAACTCAAAAGGTATCAATTATTCTTCTGTCATCTTTAGTCACTGTCCAGCTCTCTGATGCATAAGCAAGTAATTGTGAAGACCATGGCCTGAAATCAGGCATGCCTTAGTCTCCAGACTGACAGAGTTGCTCTTCAGTCCTTTTGAGAGGTCCCTAACAACAGCTTTCCCCAGAGCAATAAATCTTTTGATTTCCTGACTGCTGGTGCCAAGAGTGTTGATTGTGGAGCCGAGCAAGCTGAAATTGTTAACAATTTCAATCTCTTCTCCATCATGGTGACGCCAATTGGCCCAGTGGTGAGAATCTTTGTCTTCTTGATGTTGAGCTTCAATCTATATAAAAGACTACGGTCCTTGACCTTCTACAGCAAATGTTTCTTAGCCTGCTTTAATTTTGTTCCCTGAAATTGTTTTCCACCAATGGATTTATTATTCTTGGTGGAGAGGAATCCAGTTTTGGTCTCCAAGAAGCTACCTTTCCAGGTTCTGTCATGTAAAAACAATTACAGTCTGTGGCCTTTTATAACTGGCTCCTTTCACACAGCATAATGTTTTCAAGGTTTATTCATGTTGTAGCATGTCAGTCCTCTGACGCTTTTTATGGTTCAATTGTGTAAATGGACCATGTTTCGTTTATCTATTCATCTAAAAATCAAGCACCCATTAGCACATAAGCTCCTTGAGAACAGGTAATCACCTCAGGAGCTCCAAGGCCTAGGACACGTGGAAATAGTACGATCTATTAAAAACCACATGTGACAGGGTCACACAGTTTGATGAAGAGAGAGGTGGGTAAAGGAAAGGGGAAAGATCCAGTGTGAAAACAATGTATACGAACTTTGTAAGTAAATCAGTATAAAATAAAAATTTTATTTTAAATTAAAAAATAACAACAACAAAAAAAACCCCCAAAACAAAACCACACACACACACCAAAAAAAACAAACACAAAAAAAAACACCCCACATGTGAATGATACTCATCAACTTGCCCTGCCCATCACCTTCCTGACTGCCTGATCTGTTTCTGGTCAGGTACAGAATGAGGTGTTGGTGGTCAAATGGCAGAACTCTCTCTTTCCATGCATAACACTCAGGTTTGATTTCTGGCCAATGCATTTCATGTGCAGCCACCACCCATCAATGGAGGCTTGCATGTTGCTATGATGTTTAATGGGTTTCAGTAGCTCTTCTAAACCAAGACAGACTAAGGAAAAAAGGTCTGGCAAACAAATACTTCCAAAAATTAGTCAATTAAAAAACCCATAAACAACCACCTTTTGGATTCACTGGATAATAACTGGACGTCATCCAATCCACAAATGAGCATGAGGATGGTGCAGCCAAGTGTATCTCAGACATGGTGCAGGGAGGGGTAAGCACACGCTCGAACCTTAGCCAATCAGAGAGCCTTCCTGTGACTTAGACAGGGAAGCCTGCATTCAACGGGAGGGACACAGTCAACAGGCCAAGGTTGAGCGAAGATGTGAAGCATGCAGGCCACCCGGCATGAGGCCCCACTCTGACACTGACTGTCCTCTGGGACTGTCTGTCAAATGAACCAATAAACTCCCTGCTGGGATTAAGAAAATTTGGATTGGTTTCTGCCACTCAGAAGACTATGGTTATAGAGGCCTGGTCCACTATGGGGCGATCCCTTCCACGAAGGGGTGATCAGTATTGCTGGAAGAGCCGCGGCGGGCAGTCTATGTTCTATCAGCTCAATAGCTTTCCCCCTGCTGGCAACATTTTTTTTCCCCTTTTGGGGATCAGACATGTACCAACGGCAGTGGTTCATGTGGAGATGTGTCCCAGGGCACTAGGACAATCAGTTGGCCTAGGGTGGGATCCTCGGAATAATAAGAGGCAGCAAACATCAGTCTAGGGCTCCATTTGGCATTACCGAGGCCTGAGTGTGAAGCCATTTATGTACTGAGACACTAAACCAAAGTTCGGCAGTTCCAACTCACCCAGAGGCAGCTCAGAAAGGAGGCCTAGTAATCTGCTTCTAACAGGTCACAGTTTTGAAAATCACTCAGGAAGAGATTGAACTACGATTGGTTAGTCTAAGCAATCCAGATGCCACTGAGTAGGCTATTAATCCTATCCTAGGCTTTTCACTTCTAGGAGCCCCACTGAAATTGGTTGTTGTTAGGCTAGGAGAGCTGGGTATTCAGATATTGGCACTAAATGTGTCCTGAGCAATAGTCCACAGGCCCCCAGAGCCTGGGCCTGACTTAGCTCTGCCACCCTAGGGCCTGGCACCACTTACATCAGGCTTGAAGGGCGGCTCCAGCATGCCAGCTCCCAGACGCTTGAAGTTCAACTTCTTAAAGAGGGGGTGCTCCTTCACCTCTCGGGCGCTGCCCCCACGACAGCCCAAACGCTCGGCTGGATCCTTGCAGAGGAGCTGTGGCAGGGCAGGGGCAGTCAGGGGCCCTGTCGGCTGGTGGAGTGCACTGCCCCGGCCCCAACACCCAGGAGCTGCTGTACCTGGGAGCAGAGTGAGCGGGCTTGTGAGGAAAAGCGGTCAGAGTACTCCTCGGGAACTTCTTTCACCAACCGCTCCACCTCTTCTCGCTTAATTTTCTTCTTCCTCTGCTGGAAAGGTGACTGGCCCGCAATCATCTCGTACAGCAGGCAGCCAAGTGCCCACCAGTCTGGACTGAATGTGTACCGTTCGTTCTTCACCACCTCTGGAGCTGGGGTGGAAGGTGCAGAAGTTAGGGTGGGATGCAGGTGGGGAACAGGGTAAGGTTAAAGGGGTTGGAACAGAGCCCTTGGACCTGAAATGCCCAGTGCACATTAAGTCGGTCCCAAACCTGAGCATTCACTGATCAGGGAGGCACTTCTAAGTGGTTTGGTAGGAACTGTGGCAGACAGGAAAGGACACTTCCCACTGGGGGAGCTGTGCAGCCTGCAGGGAGGCCATGGCTGGTGTCCCATCTGAATTTTCAAGTCAGAAGTCTTTACTTTGAATGTGACATGGTTTGGCTCATTACATGTTGGCAGCCAATTCAAACTTTTAAAATTACCTGATATAAACACAGATGGAGGTTAAACTAGACCCATGTGACTAGCAGTGTACAACCTCTAGACTTAGTAGCTGAGAGAATAAGACTAAAGCATGCTGAATGCCTGCCGTATGCCAGGGTGGGCATACAGGCATGTTCTCCTCGATGACCTCTTTTCATCTTCCAGGTGAGCCTGACGCAGGCTGACCATCATTTTTGACGCAGGCTGACCATCATTTTTACCATCAAGGAATGTGACACTAGAAGAAGTGGAGAGTCTGGCTCAGGGCCACACATCAAGTCTAGCTCTGTGTGCTGTGTGCTAAAGGACCTCAAAGGGAAAATGTGTTTCCAAGGGGAACATGGGGCACATCTTCACCCTTCCCATGGCTCCCACCAGAGACAGGTGCTCTAACACTGAGGATGGACAACTCAGGGACAAGGAGGTCAGGGACCCTCCTTGCATTCACAGCAATCTCATCAGGCCAAGCCAATAGGAGGCATTCAACACTGAATAAATGATGCTGGGTTCCCAGAGAGTAGTGGTCCTGCCTGAGTTCTGGTCTCCTACAAAATGGTAACAGCTCTTTTCACTGCAAGCAGGAGGCTAGTAGGCCAGATGGAGACTCACCCATGTAGCCCACAGTGCCCACTCGGCCTTTGATGGTCTGGCCTTCAGGTACATGTACAGCAAGCCCCAGGTCAGAGATGCGGATGTGGCCTGTGTGTGGTAGAAGAGCAAGGGCTGTGACAGGAACCTACCCCTTTGGTGGTACCTCACTCCACCCCCTTAGCGGTGCCCCCACCCACCGTGGTCATCCAAGAGGATGTTCTCAGGCTTCAGGTCCCTGTGAGAGAGAAGGGCAGAGTCAGGGGAGTCGGTGTGTCAGAGAGCCAGCCGGGGTCACCCTCGCCAAGGTCACTCATCTTTGAGATTGAAGGTGGGGTGAAATCTGGGGCCATGCACCGAGAGAATGGCAATGGACACCCCAGTTCTCCCCTCACCTGCAGGAACCCCATGCCCAGGAATAGGTGAGGAAGGATCTACAGAGCCAGAACTCTTGAGACAAGCGGAAGGCACTCCTGTCCAGGAGCAGAACTCCCTGGACACCACCGATAACCTCAGTCACCACAGAGCAAGGAGCGTCCTCCATCCCCTTTGGGACATGACACTATTTTCCCTTGTCTGTCAAATAGGGCTACTCATCCCTACCTTCTCAGGGCTGCAGTGAGGCTCAAGTGAAATAAGAGCAATGGCAACAGTGTCTGCTGCTGACACTGATGAACAGAGATAATAAACAGTAAAACCCAAGCTCTTTACTGCTGGCTGGGCTCTGCGCCAGGAGCCTTATTGCACTATCTCACTCAGTCCCTACAAGAGCCTGCAAGGGAGGCACGATGGGAATTATCATCTCAGCTTCCCAGAAAAGGAAATATTAATGGGAGCAGGCAGTTGACTGGCCCAAGGTCATACAGAGAGGATGACAAAGCCAGAATTCACACACAGGTTCATCAGACTCCAAATTCTAGACTCTCAAAGATACCAGGCAGTTTACTGAGAGAGAAGAGTGCTGAAATCAGGAGGATGTAGATAGGCTTGAGGCCTTGGACAGGGGTCCAACATCCCAGCCTTGTGTAGGCTGTGCCCGGTGGAGGGTGCCCACACTCTCCTCACCTGTACACGATGCGCTCCCGGTGCAGATCCTCCAGGCCACAGCAGATCTCGGCAGTGTAGAAGACAGCTCGCGCCTCAGGGAAGCCTGCCTGGCCCATGTGGTAGATGTGGAATTTGAGGTCACCCCCGTTCATCAGTGTCAGCACCAGACAGAGGGCATCCTTGGTCTCGTAAGCATAGGCCAGGCTCACCTGTGGCCAAAGGGATCCGAGTCTCAAAGAGGGGTTATAAGTCCACATGGTGTCAGGGTTGGCACCAGTACCCCAAAGAGTGTAGAGGCCCTCCTGGGGCCAAGCTACTCCTGGCCTGTGTCAAAAGCCCAAGCCTGCCCTTTCCAGGCATCACAGAGGATGTGACGGGAAGGAAGATGACCCCTTGCAGGATGGGAAGACCCTTTAGCTTAGCAGATGAGACTGAAAGGGTGAGACCTCCTTCTGTACTTACTACAAACCTACTGTTCACTTTCTCCAGGATCTGCTTCTCGTTGAGTGCCATGGCCTCGCCTTTCCGTTTCTTGATGCGCTTCTTCTCTAGCTTCTTGCAGGCGTACATCTTGCCTGTTGCTCGAACCTGGCAGGCACATACCTGTGGCCAGGATAGACCAAAAAGACGCCAGTCACGCCTTGCCCTTCCTAGGGTGCTGGGTTCTGAGGCTGGGGTTGGTCTCAGTGTCCCATTCTACCCTCTGGTCCTTTGATCTGGTCACTCACCTCCCCAAAGCCTCCTTTGCCAAGGACTCGGTACTGCCTGAAGGTGTTTTTGGTCACTGGCTGCCTATGGGCAAGAAGGGGAGGTAACAGTTGGCAGGGCAGGGGTCTAAGGTCTGGGCAAAGGGTCAGCAATCTGGCTAATCCTGGCCCCGCCTCTTGAGAGATCACCTTTCCAGCCACTTCCACTGCAGGAAACGGTTGAAGTAGATGCTGTCGAGGTAGTCTGCAAAAGGGGCCATACTCAGGTATTCGTGGGTCAGCCTGTTGAGAGAAAGCCCAGCCTGACAGTCAGTCTGACAGCACTATCCTCAACTGATGTACATTCAGGAGGGACAGACACATCTGTGCTGAGCCAGAAGATGCCACAGTGAGGGGAGGCGGCTTGCCCATGGTCATAAGGCAGAGCAGGAGCAGGGCCAAGCTGAGTGCCCTGAGCTTCCCAGGCTTTCAGAGTCCACCAGGGCCTTTCCTCTGGGCACAATTCCATCAGGGAGCAGGGAAGGCCTTACCGCGTGAGCTCCTGGAAGAGGTCTTTGCAGGGCCCCTGCTCCAACCTCTGAGTGCAGTTTGTCACCAGCTGCCGGGGAATCTCAGGGATGAGGTCAGGACCCTGGGCATAGACCACAGACAGGTCAGTGCATGTGGAGAAGGGGTTGAATGCTGCCCACTCCCAAGACCCAGATGCCAGAGGTCTCCCTGGTGTCAGACGTGGATGTAGGCCAGATATGCGTCAGCCTCCCTGGAGGCACAGTACATCAGAGCTGCTAGGAGACCTACCTGGGCTGGAGCCCTGCCCCTCCCCACCCACCAGGATCCATGCCCACAATATGCCTGGCAGAGCCTGGAGCAGCTCCAGAGGCCTCTCTGCCCGGGCTGTGGTCAGTTGTTGCCCCAGTGATGTGTCCTGCCCACGGCTGTCATTCTCTCATCAGCACTCACTCACCGTGTGGCTCAGGAAATTCTGCATTAACCGCCGCCCACACGCCTTCCGCTTCTCATCAGGGGTCACTTCATACTCAGCCTGCAGGAAAGAGGGAGGGTAAGAAGTGTGGGGTTTGGACTGCACAACAAGTAGGGGATACCAGCTATGAGGCCGGTGCACCAGCCCCGGGCCAGGCCCACTCACCACCCCATCAAGGAAGGCGATGCAGCGTGTCAGCTCCGGACGTGTCTCACAGAACTCCCGGAACAGCAGGCGACCTATGGGCTGCCTTTCACATAAGCTGTGGTAGTCACGCTCTGTGGGCAGAAGAGGGTGCTGCTGGGCTCACAGAGTGAGCCTATTGGTTGGACAGGCCTACTCACGTCATCAGTTGAACACTACTATTATTCCCTTCAGGATCTGGGAATCTGAGGACCAGAGAGGTTAAATGACTAATTTAAGGTCACACAGCCAGGAATCTGATACTAAAGCCCCAGATTCCACCTCTCTCTGCTTCCTCCTCATTTGAAACACTTCATGATGCTGGAGATGGGTACACGCTGGATGGTTCTGGCCTAGCTGGGGCCTGACCCACACCTGCTACCTTGCCTGGTGAAAGTGTAGGAGGAAGCTGTGGCTTCCGGTGAGTTTGTGACTGGGCCTCTTTCCTGTGTGGTGGGAGGGCAATCACAGGTACACTCCCTTGCCCATGTGTGAGGCAGCAGAGGGGGGCCTGAGCAGTCTTAGGTGCAGTTCAGATCTGGAGCATCATCTAAGTAAGCCCTGCTCTTCTCTCCTGTTCCAGAAGTAATTCTGTCATATTGCCCAGAACCCAAATGGTCTCTGGTCACAGATCTGCTGAAGTGAGCATAGGCCCAGAGCTCCCAACAATAAGACTGTGGGTTGACCCCTCCCCACCATTCACTTAGTCCCAGGGTCCCGCTCACCTCAAGCCTAGGTGTTCTATCTTCTGCTTCTCTCAGATCTATCTCCTCACACGGGCCCATCTCTGCCCTCCACCTATCCCAAGCCCAGGAACTGAAACCAGGGTGGGTGGTGATGCAGCCTTAGCTCATCAGACTCCCCCAACCCTGCCTCTCCTGCCCAGGGCGAGGTCTCAGGGGATGACCCTTCAGCCTCCACCTATGTCTCACCCAGGCTAAGCCGAAGCTCTTCACACTGGCTGATGTGGGGGAACTGTAGCATCTGCCGCCATTTCTTGCTTTTGCCTTTACGATTTCCTCCACCACCTTTGGGAGAAAACAGGAACTGTGTCTTGAGTCCTGCCACCATGGTGCCTCCCTCTGACCCTCAGAGCAGTCAAAGGGTCTGAAGGGCCCAACCAAGACCCAGTCCACCCTGGGCTGAGCCTCAGGCCTCCCATTCACATGCCTCAAGCCTGCCTTTGCTGAAGACCAGGGCACATACACTCCTTCCAGCTAGGGGTTCCCAAGCTGAGGAAGTCAAAGGCAGTGTGGCCTCTGAGGGGCTCCAATGTCTTCTGCAAGTCTCTGCTTCCTTCCAGGTGGGAGTTTCCCAGGTGAGTAAAGTGGAGAAGGGCATCAAAGTGGTGGGAACTGTGAAAGTCAGGGCTTCAACAGGAAAGATGCTAGGGCATTTTGGGGACATGTGTAAGAGAAGCCAAGGGCAACAGTAGCCTGAGTCACTGGGAAGGACCCAGGCCTCTATCTCTGGGCCTTCCATCAGAGAAGTTAGAGGATTAAGGAAGTTAAAGGGCAGCTCAGTCAGACTGCGGCTAGAGGAATGGCACCCAGGAGTCCCCTCTCTGGCTGGATTTTACTCAGCTGACCCCATACTACTAGTTGTGGAAATTACAAGGAGATGGGGAGCGCAGTGCACTGGGGCAATATGCCCCTTCCAACAGAGGCAGCAACAACACCGCTCCAGCTGACCAGCGCACTGTTGTCAGGCAGGAATGCTGGCTCAGTGTGGCCAGATTTTCTGATTTTTCTAAAAAGGGTGGAAACACAGAGTGCTATGGGAAATATTGGCGGCAATTTTACTTGCCAAAGAAAATTTAAAAGACAACAATAAAACCTCTGCACTACAACCAAATAAACAGAGCAGTCAGAGCATTCTATCTGGTCAGGGGCCACCAGGCTAAGTCCTGTCTAACAAACTTGGGTTTGAATCTCCAATTCACTCTTTAGACCCATAACTTGTCCTTTGTGAGCTTTGACTACTTCATGCATACAGTGGGTCCAAATCTACCTCCGGAAGCAGGGTGCAGATGAAAAGGGAGACTTAGTCCAGCAGTCAGTGGGGCGATAGGAAGAGGTTAGCTTCCCAACATAGGGGAGATCTCAGACAAATATATTCTCTTGCCTGGCCTCAGTCTCCCCTCAGATCTTTCCAGCCCAGTTCCCATCTGGCCAGGGAATGCAGGTGATGTGACCAAGGGGGCAGGGCTGGGTCCCTCAGTGAGCTCCCTCCCTGGAGGAGGAAGTGTGGCAGGGCACCCATTGGGAAACCTGCTAGTGGCTCTCCTGCAGCCTGTACCCAGCATACTCTGCAATCATTGCTTCACTGCAAGTGAGCAACAGTGCCCACCCCACACCCCCCAGGCCTCTCCAGAAGGGGAACTTCTCCCCACCCCCGCAGGTCCCTCCAACAATCCTCCATACCCCAACTCTCTATCCGCTTGCCCCTCCCCACCAGTTACTTCCTCCTCCCCCTCCTCCCATCCATATCAAGGCAGCAACCAAGAGTCACATGCAAATACTCAGTTCTAGATCTGCCACCAAGTCAGTGGAGCTCTTCCTACCCTACTCTGCCCTCTCCCTGTGCCTCTGGATACCTGGAAAAGGAAGGAAGACAGAGAAAGCTCACACCCCAGTGCTGTCCTACTTTAGTACAAGTTCATGAGAAAATGAGACCCTGGAGAAGAACTCATTTGCCCAAGATCACAGAGCCTGGAGGTGACAGAGGCAGGCTTCAACCCTTCCTGCCACCCTGCAAACATGATGGGCATCTATTTGGTACCACCACCACCACCACCACCTACACACACACACACACACTCACACACTCTCTCTTGTTCTAAGGATTCTCAAACCACTACTGGGTATCAGGATCATTTGGGAACTTGGTAAAGGCCCTGACCCCAAGCTATTAGCCAGCTCATGGGTCATTCTTTTTATGTATTTTATTCACTGTTGCACATTTTCTTCCTAATGGATCATTCTGACACAGTCACCATCTAATTCTAGTGCCACTGGGCACGTGTGGCTCTTTGACTTGTTTTGTTTGGTTGCAATGGGTTTTAAAATTTTAGTTTTGTTTTATAAATAAGATCAGTACCACTAATCCATAGGGCAATGTTCAGCAGTAGGCAACAATTAGGATTTCCTTTCATCTTCATATTCCAACCCTAACCATTCCACAGAGACACTGTGGTTCAGAGGAGAGACCTGTTTAAAGCTGGAAAGGGGTAGGACCAGGTGCCAGTGAGGTATCAGGTCCTGGCCAGGCTTTATCTTCTGTGTCTTGTTTGTGTCCTGATGAAGTTTGTTCAGTGATGCTCACATTCTCTGAGCAAAGCAGTGCCCTCAGCAGGCCTGAGGCCTGAATGGCTTGAGTCCTAGTAGGGAGGCCTGGCCCTGTACTCCCTACCCCTCCTCCCTGGCTGGCTGAATGACGAGGCAGAACAGAATCGAGGCAGAACAGAATCGGCAGATGCCCCAGAGTCTGGGAGGAAGGCCTAGCCCCAGGGTTTGATAAGGGACAGGAGATACAGGAGGCTCTGAGGACCCAGCCTCCCACGTCCATTTCCAGGCAACATACTACAGAAGCCACGGTGCATGGGTGGGCAGGGAGACTAGAGTCTGCCCCCAGTGGCTTGCCCTTCTGGGCTTCCGGAAGACTTTTGGGGCATCCTGTGCCCCAGATGTGGGTCAACTAATGAACTCAATGAGTAATATGGAGTTAGTCCTTGGTCTGAGCCTGAGGTGCCTTTTGTCAAGTATGGCAGAAAGATGGAGTAGATGTTCTTGCAATCTGGAAGCCCAGCAAAGTGTGGACAAGATGTCATGTCTGTCTGTCCTCCCTCGAGTTCTAAAAAGACAGATTTGCTCACTGCTGGGTCCCCAACAACCCAGTTAGGGAATAGCACAGTAAGCTTCAGGTGATTATGTACTGATGTAAGGGTCAGCCTGACCACAGGGTAGTAAGGAGCATCCAGTCAGAGCAGGTACATGATAACACCTAAAGTAGGAAGCCACGAAGGGCTCAAGATTAGCTCCCATTTTAGCAAGTTCAGTGCAGCCTATTCACATACTATCAAAGTTCAGCTTCCACTCATTTCTGGGCCTATTTAACCCATTTATCTCTCTCTCACGTACCGAGGTATACTGATGTATCCTGCAAATGGCAATCTTTGTAAAAGCATATGGACCCCGAGTTTCCCCAAGTCAGGTGGGTTGTGTTATGCAGCAGCTGTATTAATTCATTCTCCAAACCGTACCCTGCACCAAGTTTTAGCTAGTCCAACTTGGTGTGCCCGGGACTGGGCTGAGCACGTGGGGTGGGCCATTTCTCACCTCTTACCTGAGATAGGGCTCAGAGAGGCACTCCCAGAAGTCGGGTCCCACCCTCCCCACTTCCTTCCTCTCAACAACCCCCCCTCCCGCGCGCCCGGCCGCGAGGGCGGTGGCCTGACCCCCGCCCCTTCCTGGGCCCCGGCTCCCCACGGCAGGTGCGGAGGAGGAAGACTACAGCCCGGAAGGGCTCGTCTCCGCGCGGGGTGCGGGGCACGGAGTCTGCGGCCCTAGAGGACCATCTGCCTGGAGGTCCCTGCTGCACTGGGAGGCTGAGCGCCCGCAGCTGCAGGCACCGGGGCCCGTCCGAACGCCCGGCCGCTCACCTTCCCGGGCCTTGAGTAGCACCGTGTTCGCTACGATGTTCTCGAGCTCCATGGGCTGCAGCGCCGCAGGGCCCACCGGGCCGCGCCGCCCGCCGGGGTCGCGCACCGGAGCCGGAGCCGGGGCCGGATGGCTATCGGCGCGGCTCGGTTCGGCTCGCAGTGACCGCGACGCGGCCTCCCGGCCTCCCCGGCCGCTGCCGCCCGCCGCGCACTCTCCGCCCTCTCCCGGGAGCCACCCCGGCGGCGGGTCCGCCCCGCCCCGCCCTCTGTTTACTTTATTCTGCCAATAAGTAAGAGGGCGCTCCCCGCGCCGTTTTCCCACTGGGTTGTCTTTTCAAAATTCCCCGCCCCCCAGCCCAGGATTTGTTCAGTGACGCCGGGAGGGTGGGACTAATGACGTCACTTCTCCTTGGTTGGTCTGAGGGCGGGTTTCAGCTCCTAGGTCCGAATTTCTGGGCCTTCGTAAGATACAGAACAGCCAGATGGGGCGGGGATGGGGGTGCGAGGCGGGGAGCCCTTTGCAGGAACAACAAAAGTAGGGACTTCTGGATCACGCCCAGGAGACCAAATGGTTGGTTGGATAAAGAAAACCTCAGTCATTTGAAGGACGATATTCTTAGTGGTCTATCAGTGGGGGTGTGACCATGTTGGGGTGGTCCAGGAACCCTCTTGAAGGGTTTGGTTGTGAAAGTGCTTTGGGACTCTGGCGTTCAGGCGGGTTTTACCTTGTGTTGGCCCATTCTGTGGTTTGGGAGCGAGAAGCTCCCCAGAGAAGGGGAGCCTCTCTGGTAGTTCCCCAGCCTCGCTGTATGTCCCCGGGCCCTTTATCCTGGGCCGGCCCTGCTGCGTACCCTAGGCCGGATGTTGTGATTTCTCTCCACCCACACTGCCTCTCTTGCCTTTGGCCTCTTCTGCCTTATAAGGCCGTGTTATCACCCCTAAATGTTCGAATTAACTCACCCGTTATACAGGTGGGGGAGTTGACCCGACTAGGTCAAATGGGTCGCTCGAAGCCAAAGACTAGGGGAGAAACAAGGCCGAAATTTTAGTTAGCTCAACACCCTACTCCTTCCATCCTCACTTGACACAGTAGGAAACAGAGGCTTACACAAAGTGCTAGTAAGGCAGAGGCCGACTTCTCTGATTCCTGTTCATTCATTCATCCCGAAATATCTACAGAGCACCGGCTTTGTGCCAGGCGCCCAGCCAGGTGCTGGGAAAATAGTGCTGTCTGCAAAATAGCCAGACTTCCTGCATACGTGCTGGAAATATAATAATCCTGTAGTTAAATAAAGGGAATGGATTCAGAAAAAAAGTGCAGTTCATATAGTAAAATGTTGTTATATCATATCCAATCAACTGACAGCGACTCTGAAGAATTGATCTACCCTATTCCATGCTATCCTCGCTGTTTCTGATATTCCTGAGCCATTGTTACAGTTGCTGTGTGAATCCATCTTGTTGAAGGTCATCCTTACTTAACATTGATCCTCCACCTTGCCAAGTATAACGTCCTTTTCCAAGGACTAGTTTCTTCCAACTACATGCTCAGAGTATGTGAGACAAAGCTTCACCATCCTCGTCTCCAAGGAGCATTCTCATTCCACCTTCTCAAAGACTTCCTTCTTTTTTTGATAGTTCATGGAATATTCTGTACTCTTCTTCAACATTACAACTCAAAGGCATCTTTCTTCTGCCTTCTTTGTTCATTGTCCAACTTTCAGATGCCTAGCAAGTAATTGAAAAGATCATGACTTGAATCATGACTTAGTCTTCAAACTAAAATCCTTATTCTTTAGCAATTTGGAAAAGTCCTTGATAGCGATTTTTCTCAATCCAACATGTCTTTTTTTTTTTTTGCCATTTTTTTATTATTTTATTATTTTTGTGTGCATGTACCGTCAGATCTGACTGGTACAGGAGGAGATTGTCCCTCCTTCCCTGGCCAACATGTCTTTTTATTTATACCATCAAATCGGATCTGACTGGTACAGAAGGAGATTGACCTGCTTTCTCCAGCAGAGCATCTGGTGGATTCGAACCGCATATCTCTGAGATTGCAGTGCAGCTCCTTGCCACTAGGCCACCAGAGTTCCCTGTCTTGATTTCTTGACTGCTGGTACCAAGATGTTGGTTGTGGATCCAAGTAAATGAAATTGTTACCACTTCAGTCTTCTGTCCATTTATCATGATGTTGCCAATTCATCCCATGGTGAAGATTTTTTGTTTTCTTAATGTTGAATTGTAATTTATTAATTGTCATGTATTAATTGTCTTTGATCTTCTGCAGCCAACATTTCAAGTTCTCTTCAACAAGTAAGTTTGTATCATATGCATAACTCAGGTTGGTGGTGAGTCTTTCTTTAATCCTGCTGCCTCATTCTTCCATAATAAGGTCCAACTTCTCAAATGATTTGCTCCACATACAGATTGAGTTAGGTATGGACAAAGGATACAACTTTGACACACACCTTTCTTTCTTTTGAATTGTTTGTTCTTGGTTCAGGCATTAGCCAGTATATCTACAGAGCTTTTCCTGATGGTTTCCTTGGTGATTGATATAATCACTGCCACTGGTTCCTTCTGTTTTAAACCATACACTGTTTCCTTGCTCTGTTCAGATGAAATCTTCTTGGCCTAGGTATAGGTTTTGCACAAGCACAATTGTGCTGGGATTCCCATTCTTAGTATTAGCCACAATTTGTTGTGATTCACAGAGTTAAATATCTTTGTATAATCAATGACATACAGATAGACATCTTTCTGGTATTCTCTCTTTTTAACTGTCTGACATCAGCAATGATATACCTGGCGCCACAGCCTCTTCAAAATCCAGCTTGAATTTCTGAAAATTTTCTGTCAATGTACTGTTCCAGTCACTTTAAAATAATCTTCAGCAAGATTTTGCTCTCATGTGATATTAATATTACTGGGAAGAGTATATGACAGGGAACTGTTCCATCTCCATAACATTTCAATCTACATGCAGAACAGATTATCTGGGAGACTGAGCTCTATAAGGAGAAATGTTACATCAGGATTGGAGGAAAGTTCATCAACAGTCTGCCTTTTGAACTTGAGGAGTACCTGATGCGCTTGCTGCAGAAGGTCAAGGACTACAGACTTCAATATGGATTGAAGCTCAGCATCAAGAAAACAATGATTCTCACCACAGGGCTGAATAGCAGCATCATGACAGATGGTGAAGAGATTTAAGATTGTTAACAGCTTCAGCTTGCTTGGTTCTGCAATCAACTCTCTTGATACCAGTAGTCAGGAAATCAGAAGACAATTGTAGTGGGAAAAATCTGCTGTCATTTGCCTCTCCAAAGTACTGAAAATCAATGATGTCAGTCTGGAGACTAAGGTATACCTGATCCAGGCCATGTTGTTGTTAGGTGCCGTAGAGTCATACACGACTTATAGCGACCCTATAAATAGAAAACCTGAGTACTGTTCATGGAATTTCTGGAGACAAATCATTTCAGAAGTAGATGCCACTCCTGCTCCCAAGCTTGTTTTAATCGGGAAGCTCCACCAAACACTGTCCACCGTGGGTAACCATTATCACATTTGGCACAACAGTGTCACAGTGTTCAGCATCACAGCAACCACGAGTTACCTCCGCACAGCAATGCACAGACCAGTGCTATACCACCTAGAAGAATGTTTCACAAAAAAAAAATGTGATGGCCACAGATTAAAATCACCCACCTTGGGCTTGGTAGCATAACCGTCCAGGCCATAGGCTTTGCAATTACTTGCTATGCATCAGAGAGCTGGACAGTGACTAGGGATGATAGAAAGATAACTGATGCCTTTGAGCTGTGGTGCTGGAGAAGAGTGTTGAATATACCATGGACTGCTAGGAGAACAAACAGATTTGTCCTAGAGAGGATGAGACCAGGCTGCTCATTGGAAGCAAGGATTCTGACGTTTTGTCTGACATACTTTGCATGTTGCAAGGAGGGACCAGTCCTTGGAGAGGGCTGTCATACTTGGGAGGGTGGAGGAGAGGAAGACCCTCAATGAGATGGATTGATTCAGTGACTGGGGTAATGGGGGTAGGTGTGTCAGAGACACTAAGATTGGCACAGGATAGAGTAGGTTTCAGGGCTGCTGCACATAGGATCGTTATGAGTTGCAGGCTACTGAACGTCACATAGCGATAACAATTTTCACATCCTATTGGATCACTTATTTCTTCTTTTTTTAAATTTTTTATTGAAAGTTTACAGAAAACTTGAATTTCCATTCATTGGTGCACATTTTCCTCCCTACCCTGCCCCCAGTTTGCTTTTCTCTTTAAAAAGATACTTTCATTGTTGCAGAATTTCCTCTCTTCCTCCCGCCCTGCCCTCCAGTCCACTTTGCTATGCTCCTCTTATTCTGGACTATCGTCATGCAAATAATACCTAATCATATATTTCTTTTAGACAGTTCTTCCCCTCATCTATTTAAATGCAGTGTTCATTATTTATCCCCTCTTTTCTTAGTTTACTCCAACCCCCATGTAAATCCTGTTTTATAACAGTGACTTTATGTAGTATTTGTCCTTTCGTGATTGAGAAATTTCACTCAGCGTTATAGCCTCCATATTGTATAATAATTTATGAGTTCCTTGTTTCTCATTGCTGCATTGTCCTCCATTGTGTGACTATACTACAGCTTCCCTTTCCATTCATTTGTTGATGGCCACTTGGGTTGCTTCCATATCTTAACTATTGTGAACAATGCAGCAATAAACAAACATGGGTGTGCATCTATCTGGTTGGGTGGCAGTTCTGGTCTCTTTGGGGTATATTCCCAGTAGTGGAATTGCTGGGTCAAATGATATTTCTATTTCCAGGTTTTTGAGAAAGCGCCATACCACTTTCCACAGTGGTTGCACCATTTTACACTCCCACCAACAGTGAATAAGGGTTCCAATTTCTCCACACCCTTGCCAGCATTTGTTGTTTGTGGTTCACTTTTTTAGAGGATGGGAACAGACATGGATCTCTTCCAGTCAATTGGCCAGGTTTCTTGGTAAAATTGGCCAAATTTCTTGGTAGTATCTGGTGAGCATGTCTAGGGTTCTATCTGTTTGTTGAAACATGTCAATTCCTGGGACTTATTTTTTTGCCAGTGCCTTCGGGGCAACTTCTGAAA